TTCATCCTATTCTCCAGCCCTGGTCCAGTGAGCAATCATGAAGGCCTTCATCTTCCTCGCTCTTCTGGGAGCTGCTGGTGAGTCTCTTTGAATGAATCCATAGGTGTTTATCACAGTTAGTGCTTCAGAAGACAACAGCGAATATCATACAGAATCTGAAGAATCCTAGCAGGTTGGAACAGCAGTTTCCAATACAGAAGCTTATAGATTCTTAAGCATCATTATTGGGGTGTAAGGACCGCAAGTCAGGAAAACCATGGTGAGCAGGATGACCACTCTAGAAACATTGTCTGAACTTCAAAAGATAGGTACAAACTATGAAGGAGGGAAAGCAAGTAAAGGTGGAACTGTGTTCCATAAGCTTTTCAATGGCTGATTTTTCAGAAGTAGATCACAAGGTCTTTCCTTGAGGTTGTCTCTATGTGGGCTTGAACCACCAACCTTTCAGTTGACCATTGAGTGCCTAAATATTTGCACAGGCTATTGTGACTAACTTTGTGCTCATTGAAGAATCTTTAACTGTCAGGACCCACATTTCTCTAAAGGGCTAGAATCAAGGGACCTTATGAAGGAGAGATATTTATTTCTCAAGAATAAATGTTATGAACTTGTGGTTAAAACATTTTTTGTTAGTTAAGTGTCTCTGGCCTAAGATAGTATGCTTTTCGATCATGAAAAGAAACAGAGAAATGATTATTTCTATTTTAGACGACTAAATTCATACTATGAAAATGGAAGCTAGCATTTATTCAATTTGGGCAGGCATAATTTCAGTACATCTGTCTATTCACTTGGGAACTACTTCTTTCAAATTATTTCAAAATACTAGAAGAGTAGAAAGTTTGTAAAAAAAAAAAAAAAAAATTACAGACTAATTAAGGGACCCGATTTTCCAATGGGAGATTAATGGAGAATTGGAAAGAATCTAATTGAAGTCAGTGGGTCTGGTTGTGGTAAAGATCACTGAAATATGGAAATGAGTTGAGGATGTTGTTGTTAAGTGTCCTCCGATCAGTTCTGACTCATAGTGACCCTGTATAGGGTTTCTAAGGAATGCCTGGTGAGCTTGAATGGCCGACCTTAAGGCTTAAACAGACCTTGCAGACCAGTGCATTAACCCACAGCTCCACACCAGGACTCCAAATTGTGGCTAAAAACTGATAATGTTTTGTAACATGGTTTTGTGAACTGCTTAGGCTAAAAACAAGGAGAAAAATTAGAGGAATAAATGTACAAAACCACTTTTTTCTCCAGGCCAAAACATTCTCAAGTCATTCCTGTGAACCTTCTCCTCCTTATCTCATGGGGACAGGATTAAACAAAAACAAACACCCCATGATATTGCAAAGTTTTATTGAAGACCCATTTGCCACTGAGATGGAAGGGCTCTGTGAAAGAAAGTATCCCTTATATCCTTACGGGTAGTGTGGTGTCTCTGCAATGTAAGCACTGGACTACTAACCACAGGTTGGCAGTGGTTTGAGCCAACCAGCCGCTCCACTGGAGAAACATGAGACTTTTTGTTGTGCAAAGATTTATAGCCTAGGTAACCCTATGTGAGTTGGAACTGACTCAATAGCACGAAACAACAGCAACAACACCCTTCGACAGTGGTGTTAAGAGCACTTACCACATAAGGGATCTCGGATGTGTGTGGGTGTGTATGGCACACATGCAAAGAACAAACTACCAAATGTAAAGAACAAATTGAAAATGAAATATTTTTCATGGTATAAGTAGAGTAATTATACCATTAAATAATGGGATGCTGCTGCTGTGTGCCGTGGAGTCGGTTCCGACCCATAGCGACCCTGTACAGGGTTTCCAAGGCTGTAAATCTTTACGGGAGCAGAAAGCCTCATCTTTATCCCGTGGAGCAGCTGGTAGTTTCAAACTGCTGACCTTGCTGTTTGCAGCCCGATTCGTAACCACTACAGAATAGCAAGGCTTTAAACCAAATTACCTGTGAACCACTTTCTTCCAGTTTTATAAAACAAAAGAACACGGTCTACTGTTCTCTCATTTGCTCCACAAAGAACTTCATCAGGCAGTAGAAATTGCAGGAAGGGTGTGTCTCACAACAGTTTCCAATTTTCTCCCTGTCAGTTGCTTTCCCTACTGATGATGATGACAAGATTGTCGGGGGCTACACCTGCGAAGAGAATTCTGCTCCCTACCAGGTGTCCCTGAACGCTGGCTACCACTTCTGCGGTGGCTCTCTCATCAATGACCAGTGGGTTGTGTCCGCTGCTCACTGCTACAAGTCGTAAGTGTTAACACTCTTGTCTCTGTATGTGAAGATCAACGCATCCCCCATTCATGCCAAAGCCAGAATGTCCTACAGAGTCAGGCTTGAGAGGTGAAACATTGAGCTTCTAAGAGTCCCTTATTTCTTAAGGCACTGTAAGATGCATGGGGGACCTTTCCATGGAGAGTGGGCCTCAGAGTTTTGCTGATGTACTCCCAAATGATGGAACTAAGTACATGGGAAAATGTGGAGGGGATGTTGTTGTTAAGTGCCGTCGAGTTGGTTCTGACCTATAGCGACCCTGAACAGGGTTTGCGAGGCTGTAAATCTTTACGGAAGCAGAATGCCTCATCTTTCTCCTGCGGAGCAGCTGGTAGTTTCGAACAGCTGACCTGTGGTTCGCAGCCTGATTCGTAACCACTATGCTACCAGAGTGGAGGGGATATAACCCTTGAAAATGGTTGGGGACATGAATAAGAAAGTAGTACCAGTCATCAAAGTCAACCCAAACATAATAACATGTGGCGGTAACAAAGGGCATGAAATTTAAGTGAGAGTGTTAAAAACAAGCAGGACCTATTCTGTCCCCTTAATGTCCTGTCCCAACTTGTGACTCATACCCCATGTCCCTATGATGATCAATAATGCAACAAAGGACAAAGATCCTGAATAACATCAAAGCCCTTTCCTTATCCACTATTTGCTATTGTTGTTAAATGCTGTTGAGTCGATTCTGATGCACAGTGATCTTGTATAGGGTTTCTGAGGAACTGCTAGTGAGTTTGAACCACCAACCTAGCTGCTCAAACTGGACTTAAGGTCCAGCACAATATAGTGCTGCATCACACCAGGACTTGTATCATGTTCTTGTTCAAACTCACAATATGGAGGACGATGATATGAGTCTGTACTTGTGACAACACTCATCCAGGAACAAGTCTAATAGGTCTACCGTGTCTGATAGGTCAACCATGTCAGATAGGTCTACTGTGAGCGCACAGCCACCCTTTTGAGTGAGTGCTCAAGAGGGCTGGTGTCTGTTGGAACTTTGTGTTTAAGACATCTCCTAGGATGGTAAGGATTCAGGGGACTTCAAGCTGGATCCTTGGGAAACATTTACTCTTTTAACCCAGCCGAATCCAGGTGCGTCTGGGAGAACACAACATTGAGGTCCTTGAGGGCAATGAGCAGTTCATTGACTCTGCCAAGGTCATCCGCCACCCCAATTACAACGCCTACAACATCGACAATGACATCATGCTGATTAAACTGAACGCCCCCGCTACCATCAGCTCTCGAGTGTCCACCATCTCCCTGCCAAGGTCTTGCGCTGCTG